GGGTGGTTGGGGTGGTGGTGGGCTCTAGGGTGGTTGGGGTGGTGGTGGCTTTTGTAGTGAGTTTTGGGATTTTAGAGAATGTGGTAGACGGGAATGTGATGGGGTATAAGATCTTTTTGCTTGGGAATGTGGTCTGTCTTGTCGTGGATTCTAGGGGTGGGGCCAATGAGAACATTTGGCTGCCTGGAGAAGCAGTAGACTCTGAGTAGAGTCGGCCCCTGGGGGTTGTATAGTCTCTGGTGTTGGTAGAGAACTTGACCACAGCCCTCGTGGCCTGCACCTTATGCTTTAGATCCTCTTCGTTGTCATAGTGGTCGTAGTCGTCATAGTCTTCCTCAGCATCCCCCAGGCTGGGGCAGCCCTTGATGGGGTAGGTGTAGACAGGTTTCTCAAAACTGCCAGAACATAGCACACTGCTCACATCGGGGGTCATGGCTTTGGCATCCACACCTTCCTTCCATAAGTAGACATTTTTTTCATTGTCCTGCAGCCAGCGACGGAAATAAAGAATCTCGCAGTCGCATGTCCAGGGGTTGCTGTGGAGGAAAACAAAAGGCAGGAGGAGGTCCCCAAAGAAGCCCTTTGGTACCGTGTGCAGCCAGTTCCCTTGGAGGTAGAGGGTGTCGAGCTCCGTGAGCCCATCCAGGAGCCCGGGAGGAAGCTCTCTCAGCTGGTTGTTAGCCAGGTTGAGCTTCTGCAGCTTTGGGGTGGGTACCAGAAGCCCCGGGGGCAGATTCTTGAACTGATTGCCTTGTAGGTAAAGCTGCTGGAGTCCACTCAGGCCATCCAGGGTCCCTGGAGACAAGGAGGCCAGCTGGTTGAAGGAGACATCCAGGAGTGTGAGCGCTGGCAGGGCCTGTGCCAGTGGGGGCAGGCTTTTCAGCTGATTGTGTGAGAGAGTGAGCGTCTCCAGCTGCGGCAGCGGCCCGTCAGTCTGCAGCTTGGCCAGCTGAGTATGGTCCAGGTGCAGCTGGGTGAGGTGAGTCAGGGGCACCACAGAGGCTGTGGAGAAGGTGACCAGGGGGTTCTGACCCAGGCGCAGGATGCTTGTGTCTGCTGGCAGGTCTGAAGGCAGTACCTTCAGCCCCAGCGCTTCACAGTTCACATCCATCTGGCTGGCCTCTCTGGACCCCTCACAGATGGCCTCCAGGTGAGACGGGGTTGGCAGCAGAAGCAGCAGGAAGAGCAGATGCATGGGGACCTGTGGGCGGCGTGGTGCTTGAGTGGCTGGATACTGGCATCCTTCCCCTTGTCCTGGAGCCCCGGGGCAGCTTCTAGGTTCCCTTCCAGAAACTCGGTTTCCACCACCCCCCCGAACCCCTAGCCTCGCTAATCGCTCCTGCCTTTACCCACCAAGCCCAAACCACACACTCCCAGGGCTCGAATCCCTCCCTCAGCACCTCCTCCTCCCCCCAGCTCCCCAGGCCCAGCTTACAGTCAGTAAGAACTCCGAAGGACCTCCGAAGGCACAGAGCTTCTCCCAGGGTGTGACTCAGTCCTTCTGTCTTCCAGCCCCAGGGAGGGCCTGGCCAAGGGCAGGAAGGGGCTGAGGATGGGGAGGAAATGCCAGCCTGATAGGGTCCCCTCTGACTTAGGAACGGAATCTCTCTCCCGGACACAGCCCCTTATCACCCCCCTCCACAACATTCCCCACACACTCCTTTTGGCTCTTCTCTCTCCCACTTGCCTTCCACACTGGAGGAGCTGAGATGGCTGCCCTCAGTCACCCACATTCATCTTTTAACACCCCACCCCCACCCCAGCTGCCACCCTGTCCCGTCTCTCTGTCATAGCCACATCAGGTACAACTGGCCCAAAGGACTTTCAGAAGCAGATCAGCAGGTGTCTTAGCAGGTGACCAACCTTTTGGCTGGTAGCCACGCATTGAACTGTTTGTACTACATTCTTCAAAAAAACCAAACAACTCTCACCAAAATCACTCGCACTGAGTCAATTCTAACTCATAACAGCCGTATAGGACAGAGTAGAAGGGCCCCGTGAGGCCTGCTGAGGTTCTATCCTCACGGGAGCAGAAAGCCTTATTTTTCTCCTGTGGAGTGGCTGGTGGCTAATCGCCCAGCTTGCAATTAGCAGGCCCAGAGTGTAACCCAGAACACCACCAGGGCTCCCGACTACATTCTCAGAGTTGTCTAAATCGAGCTGTCTGATGCCTCATCTTTCTCGATTCCTCCCTCTCCTCCAGGCCGGCTTCTCCCCTGCCCCATTGATTGAGGTCTTGCCAAGATCACTAGTGCCTTTCAACCCCCAAGCCCAGCCAAGCCATTGCCAGCGAGTCAGTTCTGACTCAGAGTGACCCTACAGGACAGGGTTTCCCAAGGCTCTTCTCCAATGTCTTCCCCTGGAGTTGTACCTGATCTTATTACCAGTTTTCCCTCGGCTCCATTGGGGAATGGGCCGATTCTGCTCCCGTTGCTTGGGTTCTTGTTTGACCTCTTGATCCTGAAGTCTTCGGAGATGGCATTGCGAAGACAAAAACCAGCTCTGACCTGTCATCTTTTAACTGTTGTCACCAGAGCTTTATTTCCGGCCCAGACGCCTCCTGAGACCCAAACACAAATGTCCAATTGCTTTTCAGACTTCTCCCCTTCAATGATCTACAGGTGCAAGAACAATACAGGGGGTACCTACCCGCCCAAACTGAAATTTTTTTTTAAATCATTTTATTAGGAGCTCATACCATTCTTATCACAATCCATAC